GTATATAAATAGTGACTTAAATGGAACCTTAAATTTGATATTAAACAAAGAAAAAAAAATGAAATTATAATCCAATTAGAAGTAAATACTAGTACTACTATTTTTGCATAAAATTATGTGTTCAACCAAAAACTGCAATTTTGGACTCAAGTTGAGATTAGTTGGTTTATGTAATTATCTTTAAATAGTTTTGATAATTTAAACTATTTATAGTAAATATAACATAAAATGATATGAAAAAATACATGAAAATGACCCCGATTTGATAACAAAAAAATATATTTTAATATTTTCATATCGGACAAAAAATTATGACACGTATGTTTCATATAAAAAACGATATAATACATAAAATTATTAATTATTTTTACATATATGTATATACAAATTGTTAAATATACCCTTAAAAGATATATCTAGTAAATTTAAAAATTCAAATTTTAATATTGGTTATCCTTTTTTTTTTTTTTATTAGTGCGAAAGAGGTTGTATCTTGAGGATAGGATAAAATATTGCAAGTGTTAAAATTTAAATTATAAATCTACTAAATATTATCTTTTAAAAATAATTATATAAATCTATTAAATTAAGCTCAAATGCACCAACTATTTTTTTTTGTAATAAGATTGCAGCTGATAATTAGAAATCTTGAATAACTAGAGAGAAAAAAAATGTAGATGCTCCTATGGATATTGTTTTTCTGCTTACCTATTGATTAGATATGGCACATTGAATTCTCAAATGCGTGGTTTTAGCCTGTGGTTTTTGTGTATGTTGGCTACTTTTATTGGTTTTGACTTTGATATTTTGATATATTAAAGGAAGCATTTATTTTACCTTGTTGCAGCATTTATAATTTATAAATATTGAATTTTATCATTGTTTTTCTTCAATTTTATTAAAATTTTTGTTATTATATTTTTAATTTTGTTGATTTTTGAATAAAAATAATTGAAATAATTATGTTATGTTGTAATTTTAAATTTTTTTACATAATTTATTTTTATAAAAAATAATATTTTTATCTATTTTTTTAATATTTATATCATTTTTTATGTTCAGATAATTAAAAAAAAAGTAGATATTCCTATTTTTATCGATTTTGATTTGATAATAAAACGAAAATTTTATTTTATCATGAGCTCATTTAAAATATTTATTTTTGAAGTTTGGACAAGATTTTTAAGCTCGTCTCGAGCTTTCTAAATTTGATTTATGAACGCTTCTACCTTAATATATTTTTAAAACAAATAAAAAATCTAAATCCTAATTTTGTCTATTTTTTACCTGTCTAAATAATCCAAACACGGCCCTATGCAACCCCGTCAAAATGAAATTCCAACAAACACGCCCTTTTTTAACGGAAAGTAACGACTTCACAAACCACCTCAGACACCAAAACTTTTAAAACGACAACGTTAAACAAATCTAGAAGAAGCAGAACAAGATGGGATCGCTTCCGTACGCCGACGTGGACAGTACCCTAAGAGCAATAGCCGGTCAAGCCGAGGGCTTCGGCCGGTTTGCCATCGGCGGTCTCCACGGTCCTCTCTTGCCCGTCACCACTTTAGCCGGTGCGTTCACCCTAAAACTTCTTTAATTTTTTTTCTCAAATACATTAATTTCATCAAATTTGCTTTCACATATGATTTCTTGTAGATGACGGTCCGGGTTCTCCGAGAAGCCTGCCGGAGACCTGGACCAGGTTGGATCGTGTTCAAAGTGTCGGTGTAATCCAACTTTCATCGTACTTAAACGTGGGTTCTCACAAGACAATAGATGGACGAGGTGAAAGGGTGAAGCTGACAGGAAAAGGGTTAAGGTTAAAGGAATGTGAAAATGTGATTGTTTGTAATATGGAGTTTGAAGGAGGAAGAGGACATGATGTTGATGGGATTCAAATCAAACCCAATTCAAAGCATATTTGGATTGATAGGTGTAGTTTTAAAGATTATGATGATGGGTTGATTGATATTACCCGAGGAAGCACTGACATCACTGTTTCTAGGTAAATTTTGTTTTTTTTTTTTTAATTTTTTGTTGGCTTAAGGTTTTTTATTTTTGTAATTATGATTGATAAGGTGTCGGTTTGATTTGAATTGAGTTATATAATTATCATTGAAGAAATGGGATTGAATGTGAAGATTAAATTCTGGGTTTGTTTTTGTTTTCTGCAATTCCCCCCTCCCCCAAGGGATATTGGAAATGGTCTAAGAAGTTAGAATTAATAGGCTGTGTAAATTTTGTGAAATCAGATTGAATGTAATTGGTTGAATTCCAAGTTTTGATTTGATTGGGTAAGGTTCGAATACTTCGCTTGTAAGGTTTAGATTTGAATCCCGCTACCAGCAGTCTCCCTTGGTGAGTGATCCGTGAATCCAATGTAAGTCATCTTTGAGGCCTGTGGTCTGCTCTACGGAAGCCTCCCCTCATCCTAAACTTTTTTGTACAAAAAAAAGATTTCCAAGTTTTAATGGGTTTTTTTTTTTTTCTGCATTTTTGTTACCTGAGGGAGCCTTTGAAATGATCTTATTCTGAACTGAGTAACTAATAATCATTGGAATGACATTGAGTTTGATGTTGAATCCTGAGTTTTGGTTGATTTTATTTGTCATTTTATTTCTTCAATGTTGGCTCCTACAAGAGATTCTTTGAAATGGTCTTTGAATGAACAGAGTAATAATCAGTGAAACTGGGTATTGATGGTTTTTAATTTTGTTTCTGCAATTCTGGTGTCCCTAGATGTTACTTTGCTCAACACGACAAGACAATGCTTATTGGAGCAGACCCTCTCTCAATGTGGGGGATAGGTGGCATTAGAGTGACTATTCACCATTGCTTTTTGATGGAAACTCGGGCAAAAGGGCATCCTCGTCTTCGATTTGGGAAGGTGCATTTGTCAAACAACTACACCAGAAACTGGGACGCTTTATGCTGTTTGTGCAAGTGTAGAAAGCTCAGGTAGAGGTGTCTTTCTTAGAAAATTAAAGGCAACCAATGCATACTTTCATTTTCCATATATAACTACAGATTTTTTTTTTTCGATTGTGTATGTTTGTTGTTAATCAGATATACTCCCAATGCACATATATGAAGCTGGAAAGAAGAAAAAAACTTTCGAATTTTATACTGAGAAGGTAACCATCTTTTACTAAACAAAACCAATAGGATGGATGGCTATTACATTGTCAATTGTTCTATGGGAATATCGTTGGCCATTTCAAGTTTTCAACCATTGCAATCTGTAGCTATTATCAGGAATCAGAGTTTAGCTGTTTAAAGTTTATTCAGTAGTCATATGAATTGCCCTACTAGTTTATCATTTTATTCATGTTTCTCTCCTTTAGATCCATCCTAATTTGGTGGTATTTATTTTCACATCATAAGGATTAACACTGTAATTTCTAGACAATTTATAGCCTATGTACTTCCAGATATTGTGTCATCTGAAAATTGCTAGGGAAGTACTTTCTCGTTGCTATGAAGGAATGTGAGGTTTCTTTTGTGCTGTCTGCCAGTCCTTACAACAATATAGTTATCCAAATCTTAAGAAGATGTATATCAGATCTCCTAGCTCCTACTATCAAGAGCTGCATTATTAGTTCTAAATTAAGGGATTGTCACTAGTAAGGTTTGATGGTTGTGTAGGACCCTGTTTGGAGGTTAAGCACCTTGTTCGAGTGAAATGCCTAATGGGATGCCCCAATTTGGATAAGCAATCAGATCAGCTAAAAGGATTGTGATAGTTAATACTTCATTCTAGTGAGCTTATGAGATTAGATAAATAACTTTGCTATGTTTCTTTTTTGCTTTTGTCACCAATGGGGAGTGCGGCTGGTTGAGACAAGCCAATATTGTTCGTCTTACAATGTAATCTTCAAGCCTCTTGTAAAGCAGAGATCAGAATAGCAAGTAGCAACTATCTTTTTTCTTGGAAGCCATCTCATTGTTGAGGTGATGCTTCCTAAATAAACTTTTTCTGATATAGCACTGTCTGTTCGATCACTATCAGCTGTTCAAAATGTGTACCACAAAGCAAACAGCAAATATAACTATTATAAAAAGGGAAAAAAAATTTCTTTACGATTATGAACATAAGTGGCAATCTATAATGTTGACTGCTAAATCATCTGCTACACTTCTAGGAAAGATGTTAGGCATCATACAGCTCTGTGATTCATTTTCCTTTTGCCTGCAATTATACCAAAATATGGAGTAGGACTCATTCAGTGCATCTTACGGGTGGAATAAAAACTGTGTTGAGATGTAGTTGCTTTTCAAGTGAACCCTTTTCCACTTTGATTTGCATGTTTGGTTTTGTTTTTGTATTGTTTCAAGTTCAAAAAGGAGAAGAGTTGCTGGCAATTAACATGATTTGTTTGGCATGTTGCTTTCGGCTGGATATATAGGCAGCCGACAGGGAAGAGGCAAGGTCTGGCTTAATAAGATCTGAAGGAGACTTGTTTCTGGATGGTGCACAACCATGCTTACTAACAGGCATTGGTGAAACAAGTGTATTCCATCCAAGTGAATATTATCAAACATGGACAATGGAAGCACCCTCAGATTCTTTGAAACATGTCCTTCAAATATGTGCAGGTTGGCAACCCATTCCTCAACCTGTCGACCACCATAGCTGATGGTATTTTGGTAGCTTCTCATTTTCTTCTTCATGAATCTAGTTTATATGATCCTAGGTACAGGCTTTAGACTTGTATCTCATTTTCTTTTCTTTTTCTCGTATTTTTCTTCCTTCCATTCAACCAGGATGTATAAAAGAATGTTGTTTCAACATTTGGACCCTTGCAAAACAGAAGATTAAATGCAAAGTTATTATTTATTTTATGTTTTCTCTACAGACACTTGCAGACAGAAGTAGCTGACTCCTTTTAACTATGGAACATTTAAAAACATTTAGAACAGGCAGCAAAGGGATTCTATCTGATTTTGTATACCAGCCATTGGATCACAGTTTGTAATGCAACCTTGAACTGTATCTTTCACCAGGGAAGGCAGCCTCGTGAATGAGGCGATGATAACAAAGAACTCGATGAAAATGGAGTTCCATGGAGAAGATCTGACAAGTAATTTCCCAAGTCATCAGGCGCAATCCTTACTAACACCTCCAAGTTTTTCTCCTCACTCAATGTCACCAAGTATGTTTCATAGAATTCTCTATATGCTGGTCCAAGTTTCCTAGCTATCGACACCTTCAGTTCATCCCTCAACTTCCCATCTGGTACAATCCACAATATCTGTTTCATATATGCTTCTTCAAAAGCAGCATTAAACCTCTGAAAGCAGTCTTTCGCTGCTTCAGGTGATAGTACCGACAAAGTCCTTTCAGGGAGAGATGAGAATACCTTATTCCAGGCCATTGATTCATAGCTCAAAGCATATTGTTTAATTTTCTTTGTATGTCTAGACACCCACTGCTCACCTAGGAGGTACTTCAGGTTACTTTTATGAACCTGATCAATGATGAACTGAAGGTTGTTTGCTAGGAAAAGATATGACAGAGAGACATCTTTATATAGCTCAGCTTTCCTGTCAAGCTTGCATAAAAGCACCAATATAAGCCAAGCAAGATGGACTGACACGGCTGGTTTTTGACTGTCAATGGAAGTAGGATTCTCAAAGTAAGATTCTGGAAGTGATGAATTTCCTGGTAGTGGATGGTCAGCAACAATATCAGAGAGCTGTTCACCATAATCTGCCAGCGAAGAAATGTAACTCATTGCAGATCGAGTAAGCGGGTGAATCCCTCCACCAGCAACCAGACTTTTTGATGAGTCCTTCTGGATTGATGATCCGAAGTTGGTCAGTAAAGTGCAAACTGACTCACCAACTTTGTGCAGTGATGAAAGGGCCTGCAATTTAATAGCTGAAGTCAATTCAGCATTGAATATTGTTTCAATCTCTGGCAAGAGTTCAGAGATTGCTTCATGGAGTTTGATTAGCTGGAAAATTCTCTCTGTTGCTTTCTTGTTCTTGGCAATGAGTTCAGGAAACCTGAATAGATTTTTTGCTCCTTCTGTGGTTATTTCAGCAAAGCAAGCCTTCCTGACTGTCTCAGATGCTGAAAACACATGATCACAGAGAATTTTTTCTCCAGTAAAGAGTGTTTTTACAGCAATCTTCACTGCATTCAGCCAGTTCTTTATTGTATGCTCTAGTGTTTCCCAATTCATTTTATTGATTTGAGAAGACTTGAACTTTTCAATTCCAAGTAGATATAACCCTTGATCAACTATTGATTTTCTGAACAATTTGTATATCTTTACACACTCTTTACCATAACCAGAACTGCTCATACACTCAGCTATTGCCTTCAAATCTGACATTGCCAAAGCTGAGACTCTCTCCACCTCAGTGATTGACTCACCAGCCTTTTTCAGCTCAGCTTCATCTTCAGATAAAAGCTCATGCTCATCATAAAAACTGCCTGAACCATCAGAGGACAGACTTGAAACCGATTCCGGATCAAGCTGCTCACGGTTCGTTGACAGTATCTGATAAAACTCCATTTCAAGCCTTTTCATGGCCAATTGCATGAGCTTTTGAGCAAGAATGAGCTTATCAGATGCTGAATTTTGAGAAACAAGAAAATGCATGGATCGACGCAGGTCTCCAACACATTTGAGGTACTCTTTGGCCTCTTTTCGGTTTCGGTGAAAGAGAGGGATAACTCTGGTTAATGATGAAGAGTTTCGATCCCATTTTGTGATGATTGATTCTGCATTTTGAATGCTCTCTTCCACCATTGACTCAGAAACTGTGAGAAAGCTTGGAAATGAAAAAGAAGAAGTGGGTGTTTTAGAGGATGGCAAAAAGAGAGGAGACAATCCTTTTCTTGCAATAAGAGTGTTGTGCTTTGAAGTCTCAGCCAACACCATTTTTGCGTTCCAGGGTTCACAGAAGATAGAAGGAAGCTGAAGCAGAGGACTTTGCTGCTGTTTATCAATCTTGGTTTGAAGTTTCTGTCATGGGGGGAGGGGACTATATAGAGGAAAAGAGCAGCAAGTTTCCACTTGAGGTACGTAGCTCCAAAATTGATGTTTAGACCAATGAATCATTGACTGACCTTTTAATGGCAAAATGAAGTAGATTCCAGAAGGAAAGACCTGATCATCAGATATCCATAGAAAGCAATGCAAGAATTCATGGATTTTAATATTGGAAAAAAATGTTGAGGAATTATAATAAAGTTTTTCTTAGATATTTCTTGTTCTTTTTTCCTGCAATTCAGTTTTTTCTAATGAAAAATGATTCCATCCATTGTAGAGTTTTTAGACTCTATAAGTGGGATTAGTCGGTGATTTATCAAATATTATTACAATAATAATTACATTATTATCCTAATCCTTTTAATATTTACATTGTACAATTTCAATAATTTCAAGCACTTGAAGTATTTTTATAAAATTACACTCATTATCAAATATTATATTTTATAATTAACTAAATAATCAAATTATTACATCATCAAATAATCAATTAATAAATTATAATTTAACTGAACAATTAAATTTATATATAATAAAACTTAAACTTAAGATTTCAAGGTCCTAAAACCTTTTCCTTGTCACTAAACACATCCGAAAAAGTTAATGTGAAGAGAGGGAATCATTTTTCTTTGATAAAATTATATGTATATGTAAAAGTTAAAATTATAACAAAATAATATTCAATATACATCATGAAAAAAAAAAATTAATAGACAAGTAAAATCAATAACCAACAAATCATCGTATCATTATACAAAGTTCACATCTAATAAAATTTGAATTCAAACCTAAAATTAAATTATTCGTTATTGAATATTATAAGTTAAAATTTTAATTTGATTACAATCATTTTAAAATATAATATTTAATAAGTATATATTCAAATTTTAATGTTTGTAATTTTTTTCTTCAAATTATGACTTTTTTATTAAAAAAATCTAATACAAAATCAATTCTTCTTTTTCAGTCATAGGTAGATTGAATTATTTAATCCCTAAAATTTTAAAAATATTTTTGTAATAACTAGATATCAAATTGAAAGTAAACTTCGTTGAAGAATGAAACGAAGTCAAGGTCCATCAGGAAGCTGCCAAGAAAGAGACACCGTATATCATTGAAAACCCCTTTCCCGGTCCTCCAAGCCCATTTTAAAATACGTTTACTCCCATTTATACCAACCAAATATTTCTCTTTTTTTTTTTCCAATGTTATATTTTCTGCAAAATTATTCAATTATAAAACGTATCTATTTTAATTCTTAATTTCATATTACGACCTCCAATTTTCGTAATTTTTCATTCTAAAAAAAATATTTTTGAAATTTGTAAGTAAATCCCAACATAAATGATAGGACCATTTTGATTCTAAGAGATAATTTTTTTTTTACAGCTTGAAAATTATATAAAAGAAATAAATTTAAAACATAATTGATAATAGGTGAAAATATCTCTAAAACAACTGATATAAGATAACATTATTTAACAAGTATTTATCATGTATAAGTAAAAAATAAAAATAACTCACCATGTGATATACTAAAAAAAATATAAGATAAAGGATAACATAACAAAATCTTTAACTCTGTTATACATTTAACATAAAATTAATTAATAATAAATAAAAAAATAAAATTTAAAAATAAAATTATAAAAAACTCAAGACTTAACATATATTTAACTTAATCATATGGATATAGATTTATTAAACTATTCGTGAAAAAATATCAATTTTAGATTAAACTATCAATTCTAAGACATTTCAACGTTTATTCAATAAATATTATTTTTTAAAACAAAATTAAATTTAAAATGACCTTTAATATATGTATATATGTATGTATGAGATTATTAGGTCAATTTTATGTTGAATTTTTACAAATTTTTGTTCAGATTTTTAATATTTTAAATGTGACAAAACAAAATTTTGAGGGAATATAAAAAATTAGTCATTTCCATTAAAATTACATTATATTTTATTTTCTTTTACTTTATTTCAGCACTCCTCGATTTTGTGAGTGATAAGAACCTCTAAATTTGGTTGGCTTTGGATTATTTGAAACTTCTAACCAACAAGCCTTAAAAAGACCGCCGTAGATTTGTTCCCTAAAGTCTAAACAACCCACGAACTACACTAATCTTGTTGGAGACACAGTATCTTGGTCAAGGAAACATTTGTGGCTCTGATTTTCTGTTCCATTTCTTTCTTTTTTTTTTTTTTGTTTTATATATGGTATTCTATTCGTATACCTAAGCATTATGACGTCAACATATAGGACATGAGGTTAGTAGCATTTTTTTTTTATTTTCAAATTTTTATATTATATTTATTTTTGTATTTTTATTCAATTAGCATTTTAAATTTATTTTTATTTTTATTTTTATAGTTATTTAATAAGTATGAGTAATTTTCATACCCATAATTTTTTAAAAAAATATTTTTTTTAGTTTTTCTTTATTTTTATTGTCTGCATTTATATAATTTTTTATAAATATATATTAATATATATTTTTAAAATAAAAATATATTAGTTCTAATTAATTAAAATAATAATTTATATTATTTAATAAAAATTTATTTAAAAAAATATAAAAATACATATATGTAAAATATAAATACGGGTATGGGCGAATACTATATTATCCATCTCTCTTCATATAGTCATACTTGATAAAAAAATTTAAAATTATATCAATCTTTATCTTCATCCTTACAATATAATACTCGTTCATATTTCCTACCACGTAAAAAAAATAGATATTTTATGGAACATGGATAAAATTAAGATCTCGACTAAAGTTAATTTTAAAAAATAAAACCTTAGTTAATTTTTTATTATAAAGAGATTGATATCTTAATTAATAAAAACTTATATATTTTTAAAAATAAAAAATTAATATAAAAAAAAACTTTTTAGCAGGACCCTTTTTTCGAAAAAGACCACCCTTAATATAAAACAATTATTATTATTTTTTCTTTTTCTTTAAATCCGTGACTTGAAGTAAACTTATTATGAAACTCCCGCACATGTAATTTATTGTCAATTGCGTAATGGCTTGTATGAATGGGGAAGTCCAAATTGTTGTCTAATTATTTTAAGTGAAATGAACCTCAATGCCGTTATATTTGGGTAAGGACTTTGACAATGATGTCTAATTTTAACTGTATATATAACCTACTCCCCATTTCTTCTTCATTACTTACTTATGTCAGTCAAATTCTAGAAAAAAAATTTTGAAATATGGGTTTTTGTATTTAATTTTTGAATCATAATAAAAAGTGGAAATTAATTTTGTAGATTGATAGAGTAGCATCATGAAAAACATAATATGAGTTTTTGTAATTTTTTTTTTATAAGGGGTCGTAATATGATAATAAAAATAGAGATAGTAAGTATAAAAATTTAAATTTTAGATTTATAAAAAAAGATGTTGTAAATATAAAAATTTAAATTTCAAATCGATAAAGAAAAAAAATTTTAAAATTTAAATTTATTGAATATTATTTTTAAAAATGATTATTAAAATCCAATTAATTAAATTATAAATTTTTGTATGATTAAATTTTGAATCATAATATAAAGTGGAATTTTTAAAGAAATGATAGAGTAACGTCATTTTTCATTTTTATGATTTGACAATTTAGAATCATAAAAGGCATCATTTGCTTTTTAGAACAAGCAAAAATATATTTTCTAGAATCATAGAAAAATATTTGTCATCAACTTTCAAGAATACTTGGATAAAATTTTTTTTCAATTTAATTGTATCCATATTTCATATTTCTAAACATGCATTTTAGAAAATCAATAGCAACAAAATCATGATCACGTGTCTTTGATTGAATAATAAATATAAAATATTTTTATAAAATTTAAATTTTTATTTTTATTTTAATATTTTTTATTAATAATTTATAAATTTAATATAAATTTTTATTGAGATCTACAACTACTTAATCTTGAAAATAATTTCTTTTTTCTATAATTTTTTACCAAAAAAAAATCATGAAGAAATTTCTTTAGCCTTTTTGTTGTTGGTGGTTTTATTATATATTTTAAGAGAAATTATTTGATATACTGATAATAAAAAATTTTAATTTCATAAACTAGATTAAAATAGTAATACATATTTTTTAAAATTAAAATTTTTTATTTTTTAAATATATATTAATAAACATATATTATTATTTTAATTTCATTTATGAAATAAAAAAATCTAACATTAGTGTGTTTGATAATTTCCTTTTTTTTAAGGAGTTTTGTCATCGTTGTTGCACTAATCTTCACATTTACAATGCATTTGACTCAAATGGGGTAAAATTAATTTCTTGAAAGAAAATTAGTGTTGCAATCAATTATGGATGACTAAACTGTCAAATGCTTGAACTTCCCTTTAGCCCATTCATGGGACCTAGTGACATGACATATTTAGAGGGCGAAGGACTTATTTAAAAAAAAAAAATTTGGAGATTAATTTAATAAATTCATGTCTTTATTTTAAGAAAATATATTTAATTAATTTAAATTTTAAATTTTATTATCTGTAATTTGTTTTAGGTTGTTGACAAAAGCTCTTAGAATTTCACAAATTTTTTAATACAAAAAATCATTCAATGCATTAATTATGTATAGAATAATAATCTTTCTTAATATTACTATTTTTCAACTTTAATCTTAATTTGAATCTTAATTAAGCCACTCATTTGTTGACATAATATATGTTGAACCCCATTTTTTTTTCTTGTTTTGAAAAGGTAGATTCGAACTTTACTTTTTATTTTTTTCTGTAAAGTATGATGTAAACTAAATAAATATTCGATGTGGAAAATCACAAAAAAATTTAATTTAACATCTAAATGAACATTACTTTTACAATAAAAGTAGTTGGATGAGGCTCGAGACTTGATTTTTTTTTAATTACAACTTGAGTCTTATTTTAAAATTATATATTAGATAGTATTTGATATAGATAGATCTAATAATTAAAAATATGATATGAATATGATAAGAATAAAAAATATAAAGGTAACACGATTTAATATTTTAGCAATAATTATATATGAATTTAACAAAATTAAAAATATATATTTCATATTTTCATATTAATACAAATTATGATATATAATTTTTGAGTAAAATACGATACGAATATATTAATTTTAATATTTTACGTGACAAGAATACACAAATCGTCAAGTCTAAATATGGGTGATCACTCTAAAAATTATATTAATCTACATATAGTAATCATATCACTATGTTTAATAAGCACTTTGTGATTTTATATGGTAATGATATTGATTCACTGAAAATAATTATATCACTGTCTTGACAGGTGATGTAATTCTTATAAAAAAGATAAAAAATTGTTATCACTAAGGTGAAGTAATATGTAAAATTAATAATAGTTAATGTTATTCATTTAATATGTGAATTGAAAACTTACTTTCTTTTAAAATTTTAATTATTTTATATTATCATTTTTTATATTTTCAAACTAATATTCTTTGTAACAAGTTGTAAATAATAATTTATATGTTTTATTTTTTAATATTTTATATATAATTTAATTATTTGTTTTTATTTTATTTTGAATTTAATAGATTAGATTTATTTTCTAATTCAAATATTTTTTATATAATGTATATTATAAAAATCAATTTACCTATCAATAAATATATTTATTAATTTAATAATTTAATTACATTTTACCATAAATAAATAAAATAATATTAATATTTTACAGATTATTATTTTTAAATAATATTAAAATTATTAATTTGTGTAACAATTATAATGTGTATAGTTATTTTCATATTTTTAAGTAAAAAATATTTGATATTTAGTAATATTAAATGTAATAATCTTTAATTCATAAGAATTAATAATTGTTATCAAAATAAAATAATTTAAAATTACGAGTAATAAAATCATATTGATAATAAGATTACTTTCATGATTATATTATTACGATGATCTTACGAAAACTACCAAATGTATTTGAGATATTGATGATGAAATTTTTTATTTTCATAAATGAGTATAACTTTTTATATTATTTTTTTTAATATTTTATATTAATATTTTATATTAATAAACATGTGTCACCATTTTAACTTCGTTTATAAAATTAAAAAAATCTAACTTTGATAATTTCCCTTTTTTTAAGGAGATTTGTCATCGTTGTTGCACTAATCTTCACATTTACAATGCATTTGACTCAAATGGGGTATAATTAATTTCTTGAAAGAAAATTAGTGTTGCAATCAATTGTGGATGACTAAACTGTCATGGGACCTAGTGAGATGACATATTTGGAGGGCAAAGGACTTATTTTAAAAGAAATTTCGAGATTAATTTAATAGATTCATGTAATTATTTTAAAAAATAATATTTAATTAATTTAAATTTTGAATTTTAGTATCTGTATTTTTTTTTTTAATTTTAGGCTGTTGACAAAAGCTTTTAGAATTTCACAAATTTTTTAATACAAAAAATCATTCAATACATTAATTATGTATTAATCTTTCTTAATACTACTATTTTTCAACATTAATCTTAATTTGAATCTTAATTAAGCCACTCATTTGTTAACATAATATATGTTGAACCCCATAAATTGTTTTTTTCTTGATTTGAAAAGGTAGATTCGAACTACTATTTTTTACTTTTTCAGTAAAGATGATGCATCCGAATAAATTACTCAAGTGAAATCACAAATAAATAAATAAATAAATTAGTTAACATCGAAATAAACATTACCTTTCCAATAAAAAGTAGTTGGATCAGGTTGAGACTTGATTTTTTTATAATATAAATTAAAACCTGCGTATTATTAAGAGAATTATAAAGTGTTTATTTGATACGAGTAAATCTAATAATTTAAAGTATTATATGTTGACATGATATAAAGATAATATAAAAATACAAGTAAATAACATGATTTAAAATTTTTATAATAATTATATATAAGTTTAACAAAATAAAAAATATATATTTTATATTTTTGAGTTGATATAAATTATAATATATAATTTTTTTTGTAAAACACGATATGAATGCACGAATTTTAATATTTTACACAATATGAATACATAAATTAACAGGTCTAGACATGGGTGATCAATCTAAAAATTTTATTGATCTACATACGATAATTATATCATTGTGTTTAATAAACACTTAGTGATTTTATATGACAGTGATATTGGATCACCAAAAATAATTATATTTAGGGTTGGCATCGGGTTGGGTTCGGGGTGGGTTTTGCTCGCCCCGAACCCGACCCGACTTTATCATCAATAAACCCAAACCCGACCCGACATGAATTTTTTTTTTTTTTTTTCATACTCGACCCCGACCCGAACTCGATACTATATAATCTGTATCCGATCCAACCCGACTCGAAATTAATAAAAATATTATTTTTTAAATATAAATATTTAAAAATATCATTATATAAATATATATAAATAAATATTAAAAAATAAATTAAAAAATAATTTTTTAAATAATATCGGGTCGAATATGCCTAAAACCCGACCCCGACCCGACCCCGATTATTTCCTAACATTATCTGATCGACCCGACCTGAAACCCGAAATAAAAAAAAAAAAAACCTGACCTCATAGGGTCGGGTCGGGTCGAAACCCGTCGGGGTCGGGTTGAATTCCCATCCCTAATTATATTACTACTTTGAAAGGTGATGTAATCCCTACATAAAATGGTAAAAAAATTTTATCATTAAAGTGAAGTGATATATAAAATTGATAATAGTAAATATTACCTATTTAATATGTGAATTAAATATTTACTTCCTTTTAAAATTATAATTATCTTATATTAGCATTTTTTATATTTTCAAATTAACAATCGTTGTCTCACAAGTTCAAAATAATTTGTATTTTTTTTATTTTTTAATATTTTATATATAAATTAATTTTTTTATTTTACTATGAATTTAATATTAGATTTATTTTCTAATTCAAATATTTTTATATAATTTATTTTATAAAAATTAATTTAATTATCAATAAATATATTTATTAATTTAATAATTAATTATGTTGTATTACAAAATAAATAAAATATTACTAATATTTTATAAATTATTATCTTTAAATAATATTAAATTTATTAATTCATGTAATTATGATAATATGTATGGTTATTTTTATACTTTTAAACAAAATAATATTTGATTTAGTAATACCAAATACAATAATATTTAATTCATAATAACTAATTATTGTTAACCAAATAAAGTGATTTCAAATTACGAATGACAAAATCACCTTAATAATAAAATTATCTTGATGATTACATTAATATAGTAATCTTATAAAAAAAAAATCACATGCTATCATCGGGATATTGAGTTTTCAGTTTAAATTTTTATTTAAATATTTTTAATTAAAACTTTCAAAATTTTACTTTTAAAAAGTTTCACATAAATCTTGTCAGTATAACTTGAATTTAGCTCAAATAAGTAAGAGATTTAGATAAAATTTTAAATATTTGAGGATATTTTTTATCAAAATAAATAAATAAATTATAATATCTAAATGAATAAAAAATCCTTCTAATTAAAAAAAAAAATCAATTTTACAAGCCTCCCCAACTTAAAATAAAAATCTAACTTAATAAATTGAAAAAGGTGATCATATATGGAGACAATGTTAATTGAACATTGACTTTTACTATTAAGTTTGAACAGCAAAACCATTATTTCTTTCTAGAATAAAAAAAATGACTTGCTAAAATTTTCCAATAACATAATAGCCATCCAAATGAGTCACAGTCCTTGTTTTTTTTTTTTTTTTTCTTCTTTTGTTCTATTACATCTGACTTAGAAAATTATGATGACTTGATTAATTTGTTGGCTAATGCTCTATTTTAGCATTGACAAAAGTGGCTCCCCTCATTTACTACCCTTTCAGGACTTTTAAAAAATAAAAAAAATAAAAATATGGTCTTAAAAGACGAAAATTTAATGTAAAAGAAAAAAAAAAGTCCCAAAAACATTAATCTATATGACCTTGGGCACTAATGACATTCTTAAATCTTTTGAAATAAAATTAATATTATAAATTAACTCCTAAATTATAATAAAATATTTAATGTAATACTTGAATTTAAAATTTTTTTAATATATTTAAATTATTAATTTATTAACCAATACAATACTTATTCTTAATATGATTTAACTCCAAAAATATCATGTGACAAATGAATAACCTTCCAAATATTACATTAATTAAAAAATTAATAATTTAAATATCATATTAAAAATTTTTAAAATTTAAATATCACATTGAAAATTCTATTATAATATAAGAACCATTCGTAACATTACCCCTTTAAAAATACGATCCATGGGATTCCAGTCCCACCTAAATCCTGGAGAAGAATCTTGATAATAACAGGAAGTTTGATGAGTTTTTTTGTTTGATTTAATTCATTTTATTATCCATCCTGCAGATGAAATTATCTGAACGCACAAATTTCAATCATTACTGGATTGGGAGCATATAGGCTTCTCAAGCTAATGTGATTTCATTCCTTACCTCAACCTAACATTCATCACCTCATCAACAAATGCAAAAATCCCTCGTTTAATTATCACTACATCAAAAAGATCAACATCTTTGTTTGACAAGAAAAGTTCACAAACATAAAAATCGAACAAAATCGCAACTCGGGTTTCACAAATATGACACTGTCTGAAAGATCTTAACCTACACTTTAATGGCATACTTCCTCATTGGGAAGTACATTTCCTTCTTCTTCTCCCTTTCAGTCTTTAATGATGCCTGGCAAGCAAAATAACTGATATTCAGGTACAACAGAACAAGCTATACAAATAGGAAACAAACTAAACCATTATGAGTTCACCGAAGAATATGTATTATCGGAGGGTTAGAGCCTACAAATAAAAATGCTTCAAATGAGATAAACTTGTACAAGAAAGATTAATATCTTAATCAGGGACTAAAAGGTATCCATTGGGCCAACAGTGAATAAAAATGCTTCAAATGAGATAAATTCGTACAACAGGTATTAATATCTTAATCAGCGACAAAATCCATCAGGCCAACATGGCAGATCTAGAATTTTTTTTTTCCGAAGGTGTCCACTTATAATATAATGTCAACAGATTTATCAATTTTATTCACAGCAAAGGTGTCTAGGGAATTTCCTTTCAAATTTCTTGTTTTCCAATCTTTGGGGGTGCCCATGAATACCCTACTTCTCAATTTGTATTCACCACTGTGGGCCAATCATCCTTAGCATTTGGAAGTTTTACAGTTCCTACTTACATTAAAGAAGTAACATCTACTCAATTAGTCTTGAAAACATGTCATTCAAAGTTCTAGGCATTCAAGATGATGGATAAAAACAGCATATCAGCCAAAATGGCGTGATTTTAGGGATAACTTGTTTGATAAAAGTAGAAGATAGCATTCAGCATTATCAAAAGAACGTCAGTACCTGGTGCTTGGTAAGCCTTCTCCTTATGGCTCTGGTCTTCTTGGGACGCAGATCAAGGGGCAAGAACTTTTTCTTCTTATATGCCTCCCTCAGTGCAGCCTTCTGCTTCTGTGAGACCACTGTCAACACCTGAGCAATTGACAATCTCACCACCTTTCTGCATTAACACAAACACCAGACTCAGAACAACATACCAAAACCAATGAATCCAGAACCAGAACATCACAGAAACCAAATCAATACAGCCTAAAATATTCAAATAACAAGCCATAAATGAACCTCATATAGCAATCCAAAATGTACAATTTGCAAAGCAACATATACATAAGTCCTAATCCATCAAACCATTTCAAAATCACTTTCGCTACTTTCTTTTCACTTCTTAAAGAGTTACCAATAGATCTAATTCAAGAAAAAAAAGAGAGCATATTGCTAAAATAAACATCAATTCATATATAATTGTCCTTTATAAAAGTAAAATCATAGAGCTTCTGATTCAAGAAAATCAATTTCTAACTTTGTATCCCTCAAAACTATTACTATTTGAAATTTTATTACTAAAAACACATTTGGACAAATTTATCAGAAGAAATATTTCGTTTCAGCCATTTATTCATTATTAATCAATTATAATTATTCTTTCTTTCTACCATTCACTTTCACTACATAGCAAAAACAAATAATAAAAAAACCAACAAACAATCAAAATCTTAGTTAAAACAAATAAATACCCATTTCTCTAAACAAACTAAGAAATCAAATTCCACTTTATATATCCAATTAAACATATAGTTTAGATCAATAGCTAACACTTAAGAAAACCAATAAAAAAAACCAAAAGAGAGAAAGAGCAAGTGAGTTACATCTTGGAAAGCTTGTTAGGTGCACCGCCGGTAACTTTAGCAACGCGAAGACCAGCAAGTTCAGATTTGAGATCTTTCAACTGAGCTAAAAGCTCGGTTTTTGATTTCTGTCTCAACTCATGGACCTTGATTCTCGCTGTTTTTTTATTTTTTGTGATTTACAAACAAAAACATGAAACAAAAATAAAAAACATGGACAACCCATGTTCAATTTTTTTAAAAATAACGAGAATATGTGAGAAAAATATAAGCAAGTTATATGTTTTGAACAGTTACCCATTTCTTCTTTTGCGCTTCTTCTGCTCGCACTGCAAAGGCGGCTTCTCGCTGTCTGTCGACAAATAAGAAACCCTAAATCAAAAAAGTATAGGGATTTTATCAATGGATTTTACTTGGGCCTAAAAGGGGTTGTTTTATTGGTTTAGCGATAGCTAAGGTAATTCATATATTTTTGTTACGTAAAATATTAAAAGGTTATGGATTTTTATTATATTTTATATAAAAATTATGTATCATAGTTAATTATGATATCAAAAAATAAAATATATATATTTATAATTTTTATTAAAATTTTCAATTGTATTATTATTTTATTTTTATTCATATCCCTTAATCCCATGTGTTTAATTAAAAAATTACACAACTAATATATAAAAACAAACTTTTTAATTTTTCTTTTTCCAAACATAAAAGAATGAAAAATTTGGCCCGAAGTGATTTTCTTTCTAGATCAAAATTATTCTTATATTTAATTTAAAATCATTAAAGTTTAATAATAGATTTAATTAAACATACATTATTCACATTTGCATAAAGCATTAAAAGTTTTTATTATTTTTTAAATAGTAAAAACGATTTTTTTTTTCTAAAAATATCTTCCATTGACCTTTAATTTTTCATTTTGATACATTTATTGGCCTTTAATTGGTGAGGTCAAGTTTGTTTGTTTTATCAAATCTTTTGATATTGGCTTAGTTTGACTTCAATTTATTTATAGCTATTTAAAGAATTGAATTCAAAATTTTAATTTCAAATCTAATCTAATCTAAACTAATCTAATCTAATATATATATATATATATATATTATATAATAACATACATAAATAAATTTATCACACAATAAGATAATTTTTTTAATTACAAATTAAATAATTTTAAATTTATTTAAATATCAAATTATTGCAATTATAATTAAAAATCAAATTAATTTAGAGATATATATTCTAAAATTAAAAATATGAAATATAGATTTTATTTTTTTAATAAATAATTTTAGTTGTTTATCAAATAACCTTATTTAAAAAATTATTTAATTATCAAAATGTTTTAAACATGTTTAAAAATTACAAAAATTTAGTTTATCTAAATCTTTCAACAATTTTTTTTTAGTTTGATTTAAAAATTATATTTTTAAAAAATTTATGTAAGACATTAAAAATACAAGCAATTTTATGTAAGATTTTGAAAATTTAAAAATTTTCATCTTAAATATTTAAATAATAAGATTATCAAAATGATTATATCCATTTGAACTCTAATTATCATAATTATATTTCAAATAAATGCAAAAAATTTTTAATATTATTTTTATTATTATTATATTGATTTTAAAATTTTAAATTTTTTTATTTAATCATAATTATCACTAAAAAATTTCTCTACAAATTTAAAACTATAAATGTAATGTGATTTACATAAAATTTTTTTAAAGTATATTTTATTACTATTATAATTTTTTTATTTATAAATTTTTTAAGATATATTTTATTGTTATTGTATAAAATATAATATAAATATATAAATTTTAATATTGTATTAATACAAATACACGATTATTGGACGTTGCGGGCACGGTGTGCCCAGCATGACAGAGGAGGCGTGTTTGTACTTAATTTCACATCTTGGCTTGATAAAAAAACATTTATAATACGTACTATTCATTAAAATATAGGACAATTAAGTTTTTATTCTTGATTTTTTATATTGTATTTAATGGTTTTTTAAAAAATTATTTAGTTTTTTATATTGGTTTAATTTTTAAACACACCCATAATAATAATGCAAGTTTTATAAAAATTTTAAAATTATAATTTAACTTGATTAAACATAAAGTAATTTACTAATAAATAATATTAATAAAATTAAAATTCAAACATTATTTAATATTATAATTTAGATTAATTTTATTAAGGAATTTGTTTTGAATTGATTTTGTGGTTATCATTTGGCATTTTGAATTGATTTGAGGGTTATTTTTATAAAGTAATAATAATTTTTGGTTCATTTTGACATTATAATGGTCATATCATGTCTTAAAACTATATTTTTTTTATATTTTTCAAACATCTAACGTTTTCAAACTTTTTTCATCTTTTGTTCACTTTTTATTAGTGTTTTATTTAAATGAATGGTGAAATTAATTAGGATAAGATTAAAAATAATAATAAAAATTATTACAATTATTATATAAAAAAATTACTATAATTATGATTAAAAAATTTTAAATAAAAAATTTATATTAAATAAATTTTATTAAAATTAATATTTAAATTTAACTGATGATATAATAAATTTAATTATATTATACCGAAAATACGTTGAAATTAAATAGACACTAAAACTTAGATTTGGATTCAAACGTACCCCAACGTTTCCTATGAAAATTTGTGCAAATCGCACTGGACTCCATTTTGGATGCTTGAGCTGTGGTGCGAGTGGTGCGAAATCTTTCACCGGTGGTTTTTAGTCCAATGATCCAACGCTGGATTACCTTTTTTTTTGTTTTTTTTATTTTTTTACCCTTTCAATCATATAGAAGATATAAAAATATTTGTATAATTTAATTTATTATTTTTCATTTTAATTTTTTGTTTAAAACTATAAAATAATTTTGTTAATTAATATAATAAAAACATTATTTTTTAAATGTTTTTATTAATAAAATTATTGTTCATCATAAAAATAGTTTAATAGTTAATTAATTACTTAATTATTTATTTTATAAATATTAAATAATTTAAAATTTTCATTACATATAAATTTTAATCTAATATTCTTAATGATAATTTCTTTTCTCATCATAATTTAACTTATTGCTATCGTTGTATTTATATTCAAATATATATTTTCACTATTAATTTTAATCTTATACCACAGTAACCAATCTCACCTACATCATAGTAACCAATCTTACTTTCACTATTATTTTCAATTTCACAGAAATTAATCTTATCGTCTATCTAAATAGATACTAATAGTAAATTTTTTAAATGTCAAAATGTTGTTACATATATAAAATGCTAAATGGATGCTATTTTTTTTTAATCTTTATATTAAATGAAAAGTGGATAATGAAAATGGAGCAATTACTATTGCTACTCTTTTTTTTTTTTTTTTTCTTAAGTTAAATTTTATTAAAGCAATCATAAAGTTACAAAGCTAATCAAGATTAACAATGATAAAATCCCAAGTTCCAATACAAACCTATTTGAATATCAAAGATCACCTAAATATAAATAAAAAAAAAAAAAATGTTACCGAATCTCACGGATAACCAAGAGCAATCAAGATACACAAAACAAGAATCCAAAATATAACTAACTATGAAAAGCCTACCGCACTTAAGTTTTGAGATAAAATATAAGAAACTAAACATAGAAAGTACGAAAAATTATAGTTAGGGATTCAAAGATAGATAACAAATAATGATTAGTCAATGATAGAATCAACTACACCAACAAAAGACACCACCATGATCTACAGTCAGATGTTATCCTACTCATATTTCTTCGTATAAAAAAATGAGCATTTTCAAATTATAGAAGTCTTAAAGAAAAAAATCATGAAAAATATCAAGGACAAGCTATCATGTGATTGTTGGGAATATTGACTCAAATCCCATGAGAGATTTGTTTAGAATTTGTTTGAGATTTGTCAGATGTTGCTTAATGGACAAGAAGACTTGCAAAAGAAGAATTCTAAAAGAAAACGGATTCTTAATAGGTAAGTTTGACTTGTAAGAGAAGAATTCTAAAAGGAAAAAGATTCTTAATAGGCAAGTTTGACTTACAGGAGAAGAATTCTAAGAGGAAAGGGATTCTTAATGGGTAAGTTTGTATGGTTATAAATAGGTGAAGTCTCTACAGGGTTAGGTATGAGAAAAAGATGTAAGAGAGTTGTAGGGTTTTATGGGATAGACACCCCATAGGAGTATTGGGGCTCTACGCCTTATGGGTGTGTATATTTGTTTGTGAGTGGACTAGAGGAGATTGAGAGGGTCCACATAGGTATGATGTATGGGAACATATGAGTATGTGTTTGGTTGTGTTGAAAGGGTGCACAAGAGTTTGGGTTTGTGTTTGTTTGGGTTGAGAATACTCCATAGGACTAGAGGAGATTGAGAGTGTCTTATGAGTATTGATTGTTGAGTGAGGTTGATGATTTGATGTATGTTTGTAATTCTCTACAACTAGTGGATCTTGTTTCTCATCCGTGGATGTAGGTCAGTTGGACCGAACCACGTTAAATTGTTATCTCTTGTGTGTTTGATTTATTGTTTGATTTTGCTTTCGCTGGTGTGATTGGATTGGAGGCTTTTAGCCCAATAAATAGTATCAGAGCTGTGGTGATCCCCAACAAGTGGTATCAGAGTTGAAGGTTCGAAATGTGAGAAGAGTTAAAGATTCAAGATGTGAAAAGAACCGATGGTTCGAGACATGAGAATAGTTGACAGTTCGAGATATGGGAAGAGCTTGGTTTAAGACATAGGAAGAAATAAGCTTAGAGGAGCTCAATTCAAGAGAAGAGTTCGAGTTTTAAAGATTGAGGATTGGTTTGTATGAAGCGTGAAGACACAAGAGAAGATGATTGTGAGACTTTTATTGCAGGTGGAGCCAAGTATGTCTAGCATGAAGATAGATGATTAATGGAATTTGAGTCAAGATGGAGATTGTTGGGAATATTGACTCAAATCCCATAAGAGATTTGTTTGGGATTTGTTTGAGATTTGTCAGATATTGCTTAATGGACAAGAAGACTTGCAAAAGAAGAATTCTAAAAGAAAGAAGATTCTTAATAGGTAAGTTTGACTTGCAAGAGAAGAATTCTAAAAGGAAAAAGATTCTTAATAGGCAAGTTTGACTTACAAGAGAAGAATTTTAAGAGGAGAGAGATTCTTAATGGGCAAGTTTGTATGGTTATAAATAGGTGAAGTCTCTACAGGGTTAGGTATGAGAAAAAGATGTAAAAGAGTTGTAGGGTTTTGTGGGATAGACACCCCATAGGAGTATTGGGGCTCTACGTCTTATGGGTGTGTATGTTTGTTTGTGAGTGGACTAGAGGAGATTGAGAGGGTCCACATAGATATGATGTATGGGAACATATGGGTATGTGTTTGGTTGTGTTGAAAGGG